CAAACTAATTCTCTGTTTTTTTTATAAGTAACATTTCCGACGTGAATCTCCTATGATAATACGGTTCATTATATAAAACAATTCCTCAACATTGTGAGCATTTTATTAAAGGCATTTCCACAATTTATTAACAGCAATCCAAACAGAACTGCTATTTTCCGAAATTTCTAGATGTGCTTCAAAGATAAATCTTTGAATATTTTAAAATATTCAGAAACACGTTGGTTAACACGTTACAAATGCATTCAAAGAATTTTAGAAATGTGGGATGTATTAGGAAATTTTTTGATGGAACAAGTATCTGAACGTTCGTGCTGCAAATAATTTGCTTTCAATTTTCCAAAATCCTACAACAAAAGCTTATTTCTTTTTTCATGATATTGCACTTATGCGATAATAAAAAACAAACGCAACAATAATATTATCACATAATAATACCATAATCGATTATTAATATAAAGCTCGTAGCCTGCCTCCACGCACGAAGCTACACGTACCCGCTATGACGTAGCGACTACGTCTGTGTTAGTAAGTCCCGCGGTAAGTGGTGGGGGCTCCCATTTCCCACGAACTGGCAGCTCTGCCGGATGTAGGCGACTGGGCGCCGTCGACCTTTCTCCTCTTTGCTGAAATGTGCAGTGGTGTTAGGCAAATTCTCCGCCGGGTAATGTCTCTTCCTCTGATGGTCGGAATGAATTGTTCTCGTTGCCGGTTCGATGCGTAGTGGAAGGTTTTCCTGGTGTCCGGCGTCTAGCGCCAAGGACTTCTGGTTATCTTCTTGAAGATGTAGCCAAGAATTTTCTTCGCCTGATTTTCTCCGCAAGGGGTCCGTCTTATATTCCGGCTTGACCGCTTTCTACTTTCAGGTTGGCTCGACTCGACCTTCGCCGCTTAGCGCCGCCGCCCGGAACTACACGCGGACGCGCGAGCGCGTGGGCCGCCATGTTGCAAAACGCGCTAATGTATCGCGGATCGCTCTATCATATCTTTGTGATTGCCGTAGGTCGCCACATCTTGGCAATAGAATAAGTTTTAGAGTATGGTGACGTTGGATAATAGAGGAGAACGACGGGATCTCATCCGGTGACAGCGAAGGGCCCAAAGGCTTGACGCCAAGGACGAGTGGAGGTCCAGTTCAGCATACGGAGCACACCCGGTAATGGCATCTTGCCTTTCGTACTAACTCGATTAATTACGACGAAAACTGTTCGCTGTCGCTCTCTGAGAAAATCGCTGCCCACAGGATTAACGAGGAGACCACAGGGGAAGGCCACTTTGCATACAATTAGCATGGAAGCCCCGACACGGAGATACGATACTGCGCCCGACGCATGCGAGCCCGGAACTCCGATCCGGATACGATCCCGATTGATAAGGAACTCGAAAAAAAGAACATCCGGGATCACGGAAGGACGTAAAAGGGCCGGGCCGGCTTGTACGCTGCCGCAGCATATCCTCCACATCCGAAGACATAGGCGAAAGACGGAGCGATCGAGGATCGGAAAATCCATATCGCGAATGCCGCAAGGACCAACAATGCCACACGACGGTCCTGATAACCCGGAAGCACCACAGGTGGCCAACTTACACCTTAATGTGCCGGCGTGTCTCCTGTTGGCCTTCCGCTCGCTACTGTTCGGCAGACCAGCCTGCGAGACGGAGGTCCATCGCAGATATCGAGAATAAGAGCGGACTTACAACTGGAAACCGGTGAGACTGACGCCGTCCATCTGTAAGCCACCAATTTCGATTATAGTTCGAATGAGTCGCGCCTTGTAATAATCGCTGTCATAAGTTAACGTTTCATTTCCGAATTCTTTTATCGCTATCGTGTTTCTTGAGAGTAAACGACCGACGGCGAAACGACTCATCCGATCTTCTTTATAGCATAGTTACTCTCTCTCCCGGGAATTCTGCCGCCGACAGTCATAATTGTATCTCTCGAATATTATCGTGTATTACTTTGCATCGCTACCGTTCTGTGTTTCTTTGTTGTCTTGCAACGAGCTCATATACTGCGAATATTTTGCGTCTCGAATATCTCCCATACGTAGTGAAAATCTCGCATGCCGCGTATGTGTTGTATTTTCGGTATAATTTTTTATAATTGGTCTTTCGCACTGTATTAGGAGAGCGTGTTGCTATTGCAGAGCTATTATATTGCGCGTCATTATAGTATTCTCTGATAAGTGCGTCATGTTAGTCGCGTAATTACTGTTCTCTCTTTTGTGCAGCGCCCGTCATTTGCTGTCGCCGTAATTATTGTAAAGTCGAAAGTTAGAGAAAAGTCAGATCCGAACAACGATATTAAGATCATATTCCGCAATTGCGAACTATTGTCGCGAGAAACGGCTGCTATACGAGCGCCTTTATATTTCTTTTATACACCATCATTAGAACTTGGCGTGGGCGAACGCAGGTTATATATTGAGATCTAAAAGATTTTCTGTCACTACCGGGGCCCGAACACGCCCCGCGCGTCGGAAAATTCGCGTCCACCGTATAATCGATCTTACTCGCGCATGTCATGAAACGCGATACTCTTGCGCTCGGCCACGTTAACACGAGACCGACGAACAGGCCGATCTCTCCGAACTTATATTCTTTTGTCTATTCAATCATTTACACTTGTTAATATATTATTATTTCGTTAAATCTTTGTGTCTTATAAATTTTGCCTGTTTTGATTCTCTCCTGTCCCGTTCATACGAATTACTTCCTCTACCAACCTCGTTAACTGAGCGGTCGCGTATTCTGCCGTCGCAATTCTTACTTCATCTAAAGTTTTACGGCTTCGTGAGCTTCTGTGTGACGCGAATTCTCGCACCTGACGCCCAATCTATCGCTATCGAAATTTGCTCTTGTGTGAGATCGAGCTATCGTATATCGCGCCGAAGGTGTGCCGTGGATCATTACCAACGACCCGTTGGGAAACATAAAATAATTACTTAAAATATATACACGGTCACAAATTGGCGCCCACGATAGACAGGGCACGGAGATCGAGATTGGCAAGTCTCTATGTTGAATTTATTAATTTCATATGTAATTATATATTATATTGAAATTTTGAATTATTGAATGTTATTTCTCATATGAATATTTGTATTATTGAATGTTATTTCTCATGTGCGATTATTTTTGATATTATTGCTTGTTCTGATCTGATTGCTTTGTTGATGTTATTCTTGAGCGGACCCAATTCCTATTGGACTAACGATACTCTGGCTTTGTTATTAACATTTATTTGAACTTCTTTCGCTTATTTGATTCTGTGTATTATTATTATCACGTTTCTTTGATCGTGTTACGTCCTGGCGACGCCACGATTCCTTCCTTCCGCGAAGTTGCCGCAATGACTGTCGGTTGGTGATAAAAATGAATCGTTCAGTAAACAGAGCATCTTGCGCCATACATTTCTTTAAACATTTAGTCACTTGTCAATAACTATATCTATGAGTAATCGTGAGAAAGACGCAAAAAGATCGGTGACGAAACCGCACCAGTCAAAATAAATAAAAATTAGTAGATATCTTTTGCAGTAGAATTTTCCGGCGGAAGAATAAAATAATACCGAAAAATTAATAAAATTCCTTTTAACAAACCCAATAAACACTGTTTTGTAACTTTTACAGAACATTTACAAAACATCTGTTCGCTGTTGTGGTAACCGTTATGTCCACGATTAAGTAACGTTTAGATGGAAATGTCAGCAACATTATTCTTGTATATAAAACATAATAGATGCATGAAATTAAAATGTACTAGATACATAAAATTTATATATGAAATTACGTAACTATAACAGAACATAGTAAACACTGTTCTGTAACATTTACATAACATTGACAGAAAGATATGGTAACCGTTATGTCAACTTTTAAAACGTAATAGATACATAAAATTTATATATATAAATTACGTAACTGTAACAGAACATAGTAAACATTGTTCTGTAACATTGACAGAACAGATATGGTAACGGTTATGTCAACTTTTAAGTGATGTTTAGATGGAAATGTCAGCAACATTATGCCTGTATATAACACGAAATAGATACATAAAATTTCGATATAAAATTACGTAATTATAATAGAATTTAGTACACACTGTTCTGTAATATTTATATATTATTTACAGAACACATATTATCTGTTCTGGTAACCATTATGTAATTTACAGGTAACATTTAGGTCAAAATGTCACGTATTATATACAGCAACTCTATGCTGTATATAATATGTAACAAAATGATAATAACAAATAACAAATATCTAAAATTTAGACATGAAATTAAGTAACTATAATAGAATAGTCTTTTTTCAGTCTAATCATTGATAAATATATATATTAATAATACATGTGAGAGATTCCACCAAATCGAGTACCACTTTTGGGCCTGCATGTCTGCGATCACGTTCAAATTTGTGGAATCTCTCATATATATTTATCAATGATTAAAATGAAGAAACTATTCTGCTATAGTTGAATATACAGCGCAAAATTATTGATTGGATAAAATTACTAATGGTTGTTTTTTTATTAAAATTAAGAGAATTAACTTATGTTATTTATGTTTAGTAAATCGTGTATATATAAAGATATGGATATATATAACATTAAAAACTTGATTTCTTGAACAATTCTTTATTTCCACATATGCTAAATTGTTAAATAAATGAATCTTGTAACAAATTTATGAATAAATCTTTTAACAAATATTATTAATATTTATAAAACTAATTTTTGTTTCAATTTACAATTATAATGATAATTTAAATTATATTACATAATTTTAGATATTTTTTTTAAGAGAAAACTTTAAATATACTAATAGCTAATAATAATTTCAAACTTAAATAACAAATTGCACTTATATTGTATTAATTAATATACTTTGCAACACAATTAGAATCACAAAATTAAAAAGAGTCAAATTTACGTATTTTTATAAAAAAATGTCGTATGGTCGTAGAACTGTTTAAAAAAAGCATTTTAAAGAGAAAATGTTAAATTTTATTACAATTAATAAAATTGATGAAAAAATTGTTCTCTACGTACTCGCCTATTAAAGTTGAAGTTTTTTTCTACAATTCCAAAGCTCATTTTAAAGTAGCACCACTTGTAATAAAATCTGTATAAGAAAAATCGTTAGAGAAATCTTCGTCAGAGCATTTGGAAGTTATGTTTTCTAGCTTTAAAATCTGTTTTAAATATCACTCTGTGATCATTTTTTCGAAAAGTATATCAATTTGAATTTCATCCTTTCTACGCCTTTTTACGCCGAAGTACAATAATTTCCTAATTTTGTTGCAAAATATAGTATTACACTAATAACAATTAATAATATTATAAATTAATTAAATTTATAAATATTATAAATTATAAATTTATTATAATAGTAATTAATATGATAAATTTAACCTTCACGGTACACTCGAATATTTGCGATATTATTTTTTGTTTTAACGCTATACTACATTAATAAGAAATGAGTTTTTTAGGCTTCTCCCCACATGAAAACTATAATTTTTACATCCATAAACTTTTCATAAACACATTTGTCAAAATCTTTGAGATTCATGTATGATTCGTTAATTATAACACATTTGTTAATAATACATAATATAAGTGTGTACCGTTAAAATAAATCTAATTTAAACAAAAATGGAAACGCAATTCGATTTTCATTTGAAAGAAAAACAATAAAGCAATTATACTTTTTGTAATTAAAAAGATTGAGATAAAGTATTAAATGTATCAACATAATGCATACTTTAATTCTGCTAATTCTCCTAAAAGAAGTATTTAACTCAAATAATAACGTTGAGAACTCAAAATGAAAAGAGTGCAGACTATGATTTTAGATTTTAGAACATAAAAATCTAAAAACTTAAGTATTTAACACTAAATCCACCGACAACTTATGCATACCAAATGCAGAAATTTTTAATCTTTGATAACGTTTTGACCGATTATTTAACCAGTCGTGGTAGGTTTAGTGTTAAAATCATTCAATATAAAAAAAACATATTAATTAAAAAAAATATTTCTTATGTTAATTAAGACTCTAGGCCAATAAAAAAAAGATCATAAGCCGAAAGCTCATAGACTAATAAGAAAAAAGATTATAATGAAAAAATAATAAGCTTTTGAGACATTTAAATAACTTGCGGATTTGCCTCTTCGGAGTTTTTTTGTTGTCTGCTAAGCCTTTGACCACCTTGGCGAAACCATTCTTTCGTGATGTCCTCAAACTCTTTGTTTGTGAATTGATGTTGAGCCAAAATTGTTGCTGAATTATTAAAGAAATTTTACATTAAATTAAATTTCAATTTTATAAATTTATTTATAAATATAAAAATATATTTTACCTTGTATTCCCGTCAATATAGACTTTAAACTACTTATTTTAAAATGATTACGTAGTCCTTTCCAGGATGATACCTTGGCAACTTCATTAGAAAATAAAGTTCGATATATACGAATTAAATTTTCTTTAGCGGACCCTCCGCCTATGCGAGATATATACAGCATCTTTAGAAATAAAACATACCAATAATATAATTTACATTATTCTATTTAAATAAAATTTGCATTTAAATAACTTAATTAAACTTACAAATTTGTTGTACTCATCTGCATTTTCTGATAAATTCTTTTCAAAAGCTATTACTTCATTTATACTCTTAAACGGAAAAGATTTTTGTATATTTGATGTATCCCCGGCAGATGCTTTTTAAATACTTTTTGCCAATAATGTAAATCTGTTTATTTTTAAAATAAATTGTCGTAAGTGAAATCGTCATACCATCTAACAAAAGACAACTATTATCAGCAGTTCTTGCACTTAGATAGAAACCTTTACATTGAACTGATTTTATTATCTTTTTACCATTTATAATACGTACTTTTGGTATTGGATAATTCTTTTCTACATTTATTATATTAAAATTGTCTTCTTCTTTACAACGATTGACTAATTGTTCTAATGGCCGACTCGAAGATCTAATTCTTGATTTAACTAATATATACATATAGAACATTATATAATTGTTACGGAAATGAGCCCTGCGTGTTTACTGGGAAGTATCTGACAAATACAACTGAATCAATAATGGGGTGGAATTCCGAAAAGGGCCCGTCTCCGATTTTGATGAAACTTTGTGAAAAGCTTCCTTTCAGGTTGAAATGAAAGATCCTAAAAGGAATTCTGGCGACTCCTACAAAAGTCATATTTTAAGAGAAAATGGTACTGAATCGACAATTATTTACATTAGTGGATTTACATTTATACTTTGCCGATGACCTTGACCTTCACATATGTTGTAAGGGTGAGGTTGCTGATTAATATTTGCTTTGTTTTATTTGGCGGTCTTGCATAGTTTTTGAGATATTTAACAAAAAGGTTTATCGAGTTATATGATTTTACATGGATTTATAACTTTCTGCGCAAAGCGAGGTCCATCCCATATCTTCCTGTGCTTCGGACGCGAAACTAAATTGGAAATAGGTTTGGGTTAGGTTATATTTTCCGGAAGTGGAGCCCCCCCCCCGTAGGGGGGGGGGGCGGAACCCACTGTGTCCACGCATATACTTTACAACGCGAAGCGAGGTTCACCCTACATTGTTGTATGGATTGCCCTTTTTCTGTATAATTCAAATATACTATTATAACTTTCAAAGGTAATTACCTTTGAAAGTTATAAATCCATATAAAATCATATAACTCGGTAAATCTTTTTTGCTAAGAAGATGCCGGATTACCGACAGAATGCGAATATTAGTTAAAATGCAAAATCTTTTTGTTGATTATAGATATCAACAAATCCTTTTCCACGATTAAAGTATACATAATAACGGAGTACGGAGTTTAATATTTCATATGGAAAGTAAAAAAAAATGAGAAAATTACAGCTTTGTTATCGGCTTCTGCCGTCAACATTTACTTAATATAACAAATTTGTAATCTGCACGTGCCAAATGAGTAAACAGATCTTATTCAAATATGCAAATAGATTTTGATTATCAAACAATTTAGTGTTACAGTCTGTTATTAATCATTTTGCAGATCATTAATCATATTCTTAAATTCTGAACTTCATTTCGTCTTAATTTCAAACTAATTAATATTTGTACGGCAATTGGTATATTATTCTATTATCAACAGTATCAAATTTGACATTTTCTTATAAACACCAGAAAAATCAGTTCTCTTTTTTTAAAATAAATTTTCAAGATACTATTTTTTAAATATGAAATTTTAGATAAGACGATAGTAAAGTATTAAAAAAGAATATATTTATTATGATAGTAGAAATGAAATTCTGATAAACTTTTAAAAATTGAAGGAATAAGAAAATATGAAAGGAAAACTAAATGCTAGTACATACAAAAATATAAAATTATTTTATATAGAATATATACGAATAAAAATACATTTTTATTATAAAAATAAAAATCACATAAGTTTTTTATATTCAGTTGTGCTCCTACAAATTGGACAATGTACTTTTATTATTTCTGCATGTACCATATCACTTAAGAGGATGCTGGATTACCGACAGAATGCGAATATTAGTAGGATTGCAAAATCTTTTTGTTGATTAAAGATATCAACACATCCTTTTCCACAATTAAGGCACTCATAATAACGAAGTGCGGAGTTTAACATTTCATATGAAAAGTGGAAAAAATGATAAAATTACAGTTTAGTTATCGGCCTGTGCCGTCAACATTTACTTAATATAAAAGATTTGTAATCTGCACGTGCCTAATCAGTAAACCCCGCACTCGGCATTTTATCAAAGAGTATAAGTGAGCTTAGAGAAGTTAGTTTAGAAGCTTTATAAAAAAGATTCTGCAAAATAAAATTTTTGTGCATATGTGTGTGTGCGCGATGGAGGCTCAAGAGTAAAACAGAGCAGTAGATTAGTTGCGTGATGTCGCGATAGACAGAGCTGCAATCGTACATGACAAAAACAGACATAATCGTACTATCTTCATCTCTTTCATGTGTGTGTGAGTATAATATACATGTACGCACTAACATTATTGCAGTATCTTTTCTCTCTCGATCATACGCTCTGTCTCTTTCTAATCGCTCGCTCACTATGTATTACGTATCGCTTAGCTTCATGCTCCTCGCATCAAGAGACACGGTAGTGTCTCGCGCCAAGTCACGCGAAGCAAAGACCGCGCGTAGTAACAGCGAGGCACCCATACGCGAGTCGGATAGTTGAGAGTACCTTAGATTACCAGATCTGAATAACGGCTGAACCGATCGAATTCTTGATAAACTTAATCGATAGCTTGGGTTCGATTTATATAAGGAAAGTGTCTTTATTTTCGCTCTGCATGTTCTATAAAGCAAAGATATTACAAAGCAAAGTCGAAATGTGGAAATTTTCATGTAAGAAACGTTATCATCATCATCATCATCGTCGTCGTCGTCGTCGTCCCTTTTACCGCTATATATGTATACAACACATGCATAGAATATAGAGGTATTATGCTACACGTATATATACACGTACACAACACACATGTAATAATGGCAATGTATTTCTTGTACGGTTGGCGTCTTTGACGAAAGATTGCGCTAACGGCGCTTCGATGTTACTGCTTGCATGCATCCATACTTGCTTTTGACAGGTATAGGTATAGGTTAAGTTTGCGAAGTGCCGGGTGCAGTGTTCGTACGCTTTCATTTATAAAAAAGTAAAGATGCAAAATTCTTCGTAATACTTGTGGATAGTTGGATCAGGTATATCTCATTTATATTAGAGAAAACTAAAACATTACAAAAGTAATTTATGTATATGTAAAAACAGAATAAAGCATCGCAATACATATATTTATAAAAAAAGATGTGTGTATTCTATAATATGTTTATTATAAGATATGTGTGTGTGTATTTTATAGATTCAACTACCCAGAAGTATTAGGAAGAATTTTGCAGCTTTACTTTTTTATAAATGAAAGAGTGCTACGCTATATAATGTTGCACTCTGGAAAATTTAACGTCAAATATCTGTCAAAAACCAGTATGGATAACTGCGAACAGTAATATAGGCATACGCACACAAGAATCTAGTATATTTGAATGCATTTGTTAAAGAAGTGTCATCATATAGTTATTCGTCATGCATCATATGACTATAGATAAGTATAAATAACATTGGTGAAATGCAGTCTGTGTGTAAAGTTAATGCATGTCTTATGAATAATTCATAAATATACATTTATTTTTCAGTAGAGGAATACTATTTGGTATATATATTTGACAGAAGAAATTTATTATTAAAACTGATATTATTGATTATTTTGGTTTACAATATTTTCATTAACCTGAGGACTATCCCAGACCAGAAAAGACTGCTAGCTTCCACCGGGTTAATAAAAATGCAAGTGCATAGTTAAAAGTTCAAATCGAATTTATTACACACGTACACATATCTTATTATAAACATATAGATTTCATGAAGAAAAAAAATTAAAAATAGTTCATGCTACGCATAAAAAAATCATATTATATTGATTATAATAAGACACACACACACACACACACGCACAGTTTTATATACGCACACATATCACATTTTATATAAGGTACAATATGCACACACACATACACATATACATACATCTTATCATAACATATAGAATATTTTTATATTAACTCATTTATTTAAAAAAATATAAATTCTATCTTATTTATAAAATAATTAAAACATTTAATTTTAAATGTAGTTTATGCTACAAATAAAAAAAACATTTAAAAATATTCTATATGTTTATGATAAGGTAGATACACACACAATTCCTTTTGATTTAATGTTTTGATTATGCACTTGTATTTTTATTAAACTAGTGCGGACTACTCTAGAAAGGACTGCCAGCTTCCACCAGGTTAATAAAAAAAAATTTTTTAATGTTTAACACATACTACACAAAAAAAGAATGATATAATCCAATACAAGTTCGTTATCGCTCCGCTTATCCACGGCAGCGGCGCGAAAAAGAAGGGCGCGGGTCGCGTACCGTCGACCATGCGAGTCACGGACGATAGAATCGATTACGTTCATTGGGGCGATCCGAAAGAATTAGTGGATCGTCTGCGATTGCTGGACGCTTCGCGTCGGCAACAACGCTCACGAAAACGAGATTCTATCGATAATCGAGGAGCTTCGCGAAACGGGAGCGATCGTATAAATCGAATCGTCGCATTGACGGTCGTCGCAGTCGTACGCGGGATTCGCGATGTCCGTGAGCAAATTCGGTACACCTCTAAAAAACCGCGGCTACGACGCGAGAACCGGAAGACTACGTCCGGCTATCGAGTCTCTACGAAATTACGTGCGCGATAACGCGCTGTGTCTAACCTCTTCCGTCGAGTACGACGCGAAAGAGCGCAAGATAAAACGCCTGGCTAAGCCGGAGGAGGACGCCGACGCGACGAGCAAAAGCTATGTTGAAGGAATCACGTCGCAATTGAGAAAAGACGCGGACGAGGCAGGGAAAGGCGTCATTCTACTATTCACGAGACTCACCCAGCTCGATAACGCTCTGGGTAAACGAATAGACGCCGCGGAGAGTTTTGTTTCCAAGATCGAAGCACGCGACGACGTTCTGAGTAAAATTCGGTTCGCCGTGGAAAATTCCGTTTCGAGAACAGAATCGAACGCTAACACTCTAGATAAACGGATCGATGCTTTGGATAAACGGATCAACGCTTTAAGTAATCGGATCGATGCCGCAAAAAATACGATATCGCTCAACGCGGTGGAGTCTTCGACGAAAAGCGCAAGCGACCGTAAAATACTGTTCAATCAGGGTAAAATAATACAGTAACTAACCCAAAAATCACGCGTCGCGGCAAATTCCGCGGCGAATTCCGCGGTAAAGATACGAGAATTGAAAAATTCAACATCGCGATTGAAGAGAGACGCGGACGAGCTATCGGGGAGAGTGAGGGAACTGGCGAAGATTCGCGAGATCGGCGACGACGCTCGGAGCGGCGAGCCGCTCGAGAGAGAGATCCTGCTTAACGTCATCCTTGAGAGAAAGAGAAGAGAATTATGAGCGCCGAAAAACGAAGACTAGTCGAGAAGTTGCACGCGCCCACGAGAAGAATCTTTCCGCGTCGTCGCGTCGCGATACACGGGTACGACGACCTATGGCAGGCGGATGTGGTCGAGATGCGTCCTTACGCGAGACTCAACAAAGGCCACAATTACATACTTACCGTTATCGACGCATTAAGCTTGGGCCCAACCGCTTAAAAGCAAGAGCGCGAACGAGGTTACCCGAGCGTTATCCGAGATAGTGCGAGACTCTAAGCGGTGTCCGAAAAATCTGCAGACCGACAAAGGAAAGGAATTCTACAACGCCGAGGTGCGAAAATTCGCGGAAAAGCGCGAAATGAATCATTACTCGACGTACTCGGTGATGAAGGCGTCGATCGTCGCACGATTCAATCGCACGCTCAAAAATTCTACGTGGAAGTATTTCACGCTGAGCGGAACGTACAAGTGGATCGACGAATTACCTCGACTCGTCGAGGAGTACAACACGCGAAATCATCGCACTATAGGTATGAGACCCGTCGACGAGACTCCAGCGATCGCCAATAAACTTTCAAATACGGTATACAGCAATATAAAAATCGCGGCTCCGGCGAAATTCAAAGTAGCTAATCCGGTACGCATCAGTAAGTTTAAGACGATCTTCGAGAAAGGCTTCATACCTAACTGGACCACCGAGATTTTTCAAATAACCAAGATACAACGGACTAATCCCGTAACGTATCTGCTGAAGGATTAGCGCGGCGAACCGATCGCCGGAGAATTCTACGAGCACGAGTTGCTGCGCGTCGACGATCCCAACGTGCATCTCGTGGAAAAGGTGCTGCGTCGAAGGGGCAACGAGGTTTACGTGAAATGGCTGAGAATGGTCGCGCTCCATACAGATTCTTCCTCGCGCCGCTACGCGGCCGCCACGTCCTGCGTTTTCTCTTTCGCGCTTTATACGGACTCTTTCTCACGCTCTATATGAATTCTTTTATCATACCGCTACGCGAACATCGTATCTTGCGTTAACCTTTTTTCACGTTATTCGATATAAAATGCTTCCGAGAGCATAATAAAGAAATTGTGGTAATTTCCAGGCTTTTCTATTTCTAATAAATCTCGATGCAGATTTAGCAAACTGCTCTAGCCTGAGATTTGTAAATAAATCTTGAGTGAGGATACAAAGTTATAAGCTAGAATAACTTTCTTATCTCGGGCTAGAGCAGCTTGTCAAAACTGGCTCGAGATTTGTTAAAAACAAAACAGTCTGGAAATTATCACGATTTTTTATAATGTAAAAATACTCGAAAAAACTCGCGCGTCTCTTCGCGAATATTTCGTACCTTCGCGTATCTCGTCTTTGTTATTTTTCTCTCTCGAAATATTTTATTAAAATAAACTATATTAAACGCAAATAATATTTATTACATTCTCGATATACGACGTTTTCCTCGCTCCTTACAGCGGTATTCTATAATGCTCCCACGGTAAAGTATCCGCAGTTCCGGATATCACGTATCGTTTATCGTCGTGCGGACTGTGCGCGATCTACGATTCCGACACCGTATACACCTCGTGTAACTTGGACCTTATGCAAGACTGTTTGCGCCTCATCTCGATCCTTTGTCGAAGACAACGCGCGTAATCTTCGAACGTTATTGTTCTCACGACGACGCCGCTCTTAACACCCTTATTCTTTTCGTATCGTCTCTACCGTCGGCTCGTAGCGCGTACATCTTCGCTCTGAGCCCGACGAATTCCGTCATAATCGCGCCAGCATTCTCGTCCTTCATCGCACCAGGTATTTTTTTATTAGCGAGAGGCATACCGTACGCGTTGTCCACCGCGTAATCGCTCGTATCGAATCTGTCGATGTCACGCTTCATATCCTTGTACACATCCTTGCACTCGATGCTATAAATGAGACTATCCGTATCGGTGTACATTATTCTACACATATCTCGATACAACGGTAGCATACACTCGTAGTGAAATTTGTTCAAACGAATCTTAGACACATCGAGAATACACATACCCACGTAAACCGGTTTGTTGAATTTAATCTCGAGTTTGCGCAATTCCACGGCTACGAGATCCTCCGCGAAGACGCTTCTGCTACGAAAGTTCGGCTTCGCGATCATCGCCTCCGCGCCGTATCTCCCGTCCCATCGAGTCACGAGTCGGACATCCGAGTGATCGCGCACATTCTCCATGGTCTTACCGAACACGGCGTTATTCATCAATTTGTAAAAATTTTTCTCGAACTCGTTTTTCGCGTTAATTCGTAGTTGCATGTTCAGTTCGATGTATCCGCGCAGCCATGGGGATTGCGCGAATTGTAATATTCTGTGTATCATCGTAACGCGTAATCCGTGTCGAACGCATTGCTGCAAATTGCGATAATACGTCACGTAACGACTTTTATCGTACAGCGTGGCGAGAAGTTTCTCGTCACGTTTTCCGGGCGGCTTATCGCGCGTCGGGCAGAACGGCAAGTCCGCGTGAGAATCGTGAAGGTTGGGCGGATACGCAAGGTCGACCTCTAGAATGTAACCGATAGGCGAGTTCGATGTCACGGACATTAAGTCGATGCTCGCGACATCATCGACCCATCGAAAATCTTCGCAAGGTAACGATTGACACATCGCCCATCCGTATAAATTATTTACATCGAAATACATGAGAAAAGACGACGGTTCCGAAGGATTGTAAGTCTGTAAATACTTGTTATTAGCGCGCGCGTATTTATTGCAACATTGACTTAGCCCGCCGCGTATCCCGCGTTCCACGAACATCACCATATCGATGTCGGTTAATAACTCGAATCGAATATCCGTGTGCTTTAACATAGCGTCCCACGTATATCCAGGTAACGTGTAATAGTACGCGGGATCTAAATTATAACTTCTCATACACGCGTCGCAAAAATTTTCGAAAACATCGGCCAATAAAAGAACGTCGGTTTTTAAATACAAATCGCTATAGTCGCCCAACGTCTCGACGCGAAACCGCTCCCAGACTCTTATCGCGCGCGCGTAATCGCTCTCGGATATCGCGTCACCGGTCAACTATGGAAAGCCTCGCGCGGCGGTAGACGAGTCTCCAGCAATTTATCGACGTCGTCGACGTACTCATAAGGAAACACCTTTTCGCGCGAAAAGCTCGAAATCAGCGTCGTCAAGATTGGAAAATTCCGAACGCGCGATCTTCAGCTCGCTCTTGTCAAGATACGACGCCAATTTTTCGAGACGCTCGAATCTAGTAATTCCATTTAAATTCATGGGAAACTCGACACCCTCCAGATTCAACACCGTCGAGTAGTGAGGATACCGCGAGCTTCTTTCCGTGTGTTTCTCGACCGGATATAAAGCGGCGACTATCGCCCACGCGAAACATGCGTTATCCGTAGATTGCACGTTAACCACCGCTTTCTTCAACGCGATCTCTCGCGGTATCTCGACGCGGCATCCAGCGTGCATAGGATTGTATCTGTTCACGTTCACCGTTAAATTTAGTATTCGCGATAACGCCCATCCGCTATCACGCTCTTGAAACTCCTCCAGCGAAGCTAGAGTAGCGTCGACCACGCGCTTCCCGTACCACTCTCGCAAGTCGGAAAGAGGTAGAAGCTGATGATTCTTCGTGGCGATAGTCTTAACATCAATCTTGTCGCCCGAAACAAACTCGCCGATGAACACGGTATTGACCTTGACACTGTTATATCCATCCATAACATCGCCGGTATATATTTATACATTTATATTTCATTGATATAAAATATTGAAGAAAAACTTTTAATTTTGAGAATTTTCGCGGTGCTTTTAAAAAAGTATTGTCTTATTATTATATTTGGGCATTCTTACATACGGACGCTCCTGAGACGAAGCGTCGCGCTCCTTAGTTACGCGTATCTGGCGATTCGTTGCTAACGCACGAGCGGTGAGTGGGGGGCAATAAGCATGAGCCACGGAATAGGGCCAAAATGTTAAGATATAAAATAACTCAAAAAGTACTTAATAAAAAAATACTTTATTATAGTGTTTTGAAAAGCTCTCGAGATAAGCTACAAGAATATGCAATAAAAAGTAGGGGTTTCCATTTAAAATTTTAAAGTTTGCCCCCGCCCCCTTTAGAAGCGGAGCGGGGGCAATTTTATATTTACGTAGTTAGAAAGGTCCCTCGACTACATGAAACTTTTTCCTGAACAATTTTTTGATTTGACAAATATTTTTAGAGTTATTAGCTTGTAACACTTTACATGGGCCACCCTGTATGAGTGGCCTTCACTTGGACACAGTGCAAATAGACACGTTACAAATGGACACGAGATTTTGCACACGGTTCAATTGGACACAGTGCATTTGGACATAGTAATTTTGAATACAGTAGCTTTTGGACACGTAAGAAAATACGCATCGTTTACTTGGACACCGCTCACTTGGACACTGCTCATTTGGACACCGTTTATTTGAACACCGTTCATTTGGACACAGAAAGACGCACACCGTTCATTTGGACACCGTTCATTTGGACACCGTTCATTTGCCCACCGTTCATTTGGACACCGTTCATTTGCCCACCGTTCGTTTGGACACCGTTCATTTGCCCACTGTTCGTTCGGACACCGTTTATTTGCCCACAGGCAGGAAGCACGCGCACGCGCGCGCACATACACACGCACACACACACACACACACACGGGTGGGTGCATAGGGGGCCTTCGGCCCCTCTCCCGCACACATCCCGGCGGTAGGCAGGGTGGACCTCGCTTTACAACTACGGTGGGCAAATGAACGGTGTCCAAATGAACGGTGCGCGTCTTTCTGTGTCCACATGAACGGTGTCCAAATGAACAGTGTCCAAGTGAGCGGTGTCCAAGTAAACGATGCGTATTTTCTTATGTGTCCAAAAGCTACTGTATCCAAAATTACTGTGTCCAAATGCTCTGTGTCCAATTGAACCGTGTGCAAAATCTCGTGTCCATTTGTAATGTGTCCACTTGCACCGTGTCCAATTGTACTGTGTCCAAGTGCACCGCTCCCACCCTGTATATTATGCGTATCGTAGGAACAATATTGAGACACAAATGAGAATATGCAAAAGCTTATGCAATTTCTCCACTAAAATTCAAAAATTAAATCTAAAAATGAAGATATATACTACAGAATTAATGACTTTAAGAGGCTCACAGACTGTTCTGTTTTACCGATAGAATGCGAATATTAGTCAAAATGTAAAATATTTTTGTTGATTATATAGATATTAATAAATCCTTTTCCATAATTAAAGTACACATAGTAACGTAGTGCGGGAGATATGATTCCATGTAAAAAGCGAAAAAAATTAAAAATTACAGTTTTGTTATCAGCTTCTATCATCAACATTTGCTTAATATAAAAGATTTGTAATTTGCACGTGCCTAACAAGTGGATCCCGCAGTCGGCATTTTATCAAGGAGTATCAGTGAACTTTGAGAAGCAAGTTTAGAAGCTTTATAAAAAAGATTTTACTATGCAAAATTTTCGTGCATATGTGTGTGTGCGAGATCGAGGCTCAAAAGTAAAAGAGAGCAGTAGATTAGTTGCGTGATGTCGCGATAGACACAACTGCAATCTTACATGACAAGGACAGACATAATCGTACTATCTTTGTCTCTTTCATGCATGTGAGAGTAATATACATGTACGCACTAACATTATTGCAGTATCTTTTCTCTCTCGATTATACGCACTGTCTCTTTCTAATCGCTCGCTC